GAACCCGAACACCTTGACGAAGGAGGCGACCGCGGCGGCGCGGCTGCGCCCGCAGTTGAGGAGAAGAAGGGGGGCAAGAAGAGGAGGGCCTCCGAAGGCGCCGAAGGCTGGCCAGCCGACGCCGACGGCGACGGCGCCGACGCAGACGAGGCCGGGACTGGCGGAGACGACGGCGCCGAGGGCGCCGACTACGGCGTCAGCGGCGAGGACGGCGAGAAGGCCAAGAAAAAGAAGAAGGGGAAGAACAAGGGGAAGCGCTCCAAGACCGCCAAAAAGAAACGCAAGAAACCGGCCGCGCCGAGGAGCTCGGAGGTCCCGACAGAACCCGCCGAGGTCCAGCCACCGTGCGCCGCTGCCCCTGATCAGACGGCTATCGACGCGGTGCCGCGCTTCGATCGCAACCCCGTTTGCACCAAGTGCAAGAAGCCCGTGGAGCCGCTCGCAGCAAGGATTGTAGGCAAGAAAAGGAATGTTTGGCAGTGCTCAACGTGCAGTTCGCGGTACACTCAGCTCCACAGGATTTTCGGAGGATGGCCGCCACAATCCTTCAAGTCGCTTTCACAGGAAGAGAAAGATACTTTTTGGAACGACGTCAAGGAGGCGAACGGGAAGGCAGAGGTCGAGAAGATTGCGGTGGAAACGTTCACGAGGGTATACCGCGAGAGCCGCGCCTCAGGCAGGCAGGGGAAATACCTCCCACTCAGCGTCTACAAGAAGAAGGGCTACTCCGCAAAGAGGATTAAGAGGCTGTGCAAAGACAAGAAACAAGATGATGTCCTCGGCACGCTCTACTGCGTGAACATTGATTACAAGGACGACAAAAGCGTCGAGGAAGAGGTCCGCCAGTCCCTGACCGCCGCAAAGGAGCGCACCGCCAGCCCGCAGCAGCACCAAGGCAAGAACAAAGGCAAAGGCAAGGGAAAGGAGCAACTCGCGCCAACCTCAGCCACCAAGAAGATGATGAGCGACGCCGTCAAGATCCTGGCCAAGGTGAGCCCGCTCGCTTTCAAGGCAAAAGGGTTGTTGAACAACCCCAAGGCAAGCAAGCTGCACAAGGACCACAGCAAGGCCCTGGCGTGGCACATCAAGGACCTCGACGCTCTCGCGGCCGCGGCCCAGGATACCCTGTCCAAGAACGCCGTGCTGTCCATTCAGCTTGCGACGGTGAAGGAGAAGGCAGACGCGGCTGAGAAGAAGTGCGCGCAGGCGGAGACAGCGCTCAGCACTTTCGACGACTGAGGCTCCCCTGCGGGAGGAGAGGGGAAGTGCAGCAACGAGCATGCTGCGCGAGTGACCGCCTCTTGACATCTCTCGGGCTGAGATGCGGCGTCGGAGAAAAAAATCATTCATTCCGTTAGCGATTCACTCGCTCATTTCGTTAGCGATTCAATCGCTCATTTCGTTAGCGATTCACTCGCTGATTTCGTTAGCGATTCAATCGCTCATTTCGTTAGCGATTCAATCGCTCATTTCGTTAGCGATTCACTCGCTGATTTCGTTAGCGATTCAATCGCTCATTTCGTTAGCGATTCACTCGCTATGAAGCGGCGCCCTCTCTCGGAAGCGATTGAATCGCTCGGCGCGACGGCTTGCACCCTTCACCTGCTTTACATTCAGCGCTTGGGCTCAGGAGTGCCCGAGTCCCGCGCCCCAGCGCCCGCGTGGCCATCATGGGTAAGCAAGTTCTCGAGAAGCGCCGCCGCCTTGGGAGGCTGGTGACCATTCCAGGCGTGACGTGCGCTGGTTTGTGCGAGGTCCTCCGCCGACTGAGGCAAGCGCCCATCGAAGAGGAGGTCTCTGCGCATGAGGCCAAGGCCGCCGCGAAGATGGAGTACGATAGAGAGATGTCGTGTTCTCTGGAATTGCCGCTGTGCGACGGCGGGTCCTTTGAGTGGCACATTGCAAGGACGTCGCGGGGCGCACCAAGCAGCGCGTCTTTCTTGGGCCGCAAAAAATCAACAACGGCATCTGGATTTTTTTCTGGTGCCAGTTTTCTCCTCTCCCCCTGCCCCTTCCCCCCCTCCACCCATTCCCCCCTTCCCCCTTCCCCCCCCCCCAGGGCGGGAGGGGGTGGTGCAGGGGGTTCGCGGCGCGCCTGCTTGGCGCATCCCGCTGAGGCCTGCCCGCTTGGTTCAACGGTTAGTCGAGGTGTCCCCAGCGCTGAAGCGCATGTTCGCGGCCGCGCCTATCACCCCAGCAAGGCCGTGGAACGTGATCCTTGCGCACGACGAGGTCACGCCTGGAGCTGTGCTGCGACCGCATAACCGCAGGAAGTTCGTTGCATTTTACATTTCGTTTCTAGAATTCAAGCATGCCCTTCGGCACGATTGCTGTTGGTTCCCCCTGGGCGTGATCAGGTCGGCACAAGTGGAGAAAATTCGCGGTGGCCTCTCGGGCACGATCAAGTCGTTGCTGCGTCGCTTGCTTCTTGAGGACGGCAATCTCGTGGATGGCGTGGCCTTGCCGCTACAGGGCGGGCCGACAATGTTCTTCGCGAAATTTGCCGTACACTTGGGAGACGAGGTCGCTTTGTCCAGGGGCCTCGGCGTGAAAGGATCTGCAGGGATCCGACCGTGTCTGAAGTGCGCCAACGTGCTCAAGAAAGGCTCAGGCATTGCTGGCGCTGGCGCCGCGCCCAATCGGTTGGTGGAAATCACATGCAGGGACCGCAGCGCATTCATTTGTAATTCTGACGAGGCCGCATGGGGAGCCCACGACGAGTTGACGCACTTACAAGGGACAATATCGAAAGCCGCATTTGTGCGCCACGAGAAAGCACACGGCATCAATTTTAATCCTGATGGGTTGTTGGCGGACGCAGACCTCCGAGGGCAGGTCGGCCCTGTTTCGTCGCTCCATTTTGATTGGATGCATGTATATTTGTGCAATGGTGTTGCGTCCCAGGAAATGTTTTGCTTCATGTCGGCATGCCAAGCCATTCCTGCTCTGAGGGACATCTATCCGAAGTTGGAACGGTACTGCCAGGCAGACTGGTCTTTCCCCCAGCAACACCGACGCAAGTGTCGGGAGGCCCACGTTGTTTTCTGCAAGGCCAGGGAGAACGCATTCAAGGAGCATTGGCGAAGCAGCGCCTCAGAGTTGTTGTGCATTTACCCGCTGGTGCGGCATTTTGCTTGCATTGTTATCTTGCCGAATTTCGATGAGCTGCGCGACGAAGTTGCCTCCCTCTGCCACTGTTTCGCTGTAATTGACAAAATTCAACGGGCGAAGGCGGGCGACATCGATGCCTCGGCCCTCGGAGCTGCAGTTGATCGCCACGCGGACGCACATGAAAAAGCATACGGGGCCGACAATTGGAAACCAAAGTTTCATTTGGCGACGCACATTCCCGAGCAAGTGGAGAAATTCGACGTTGTGTTGGATTGCTTCGTTGTTGAGAGGTCGCACCTTCTGCCGAAAATGATTCTGGACAACCAAGATATACTGAAAGGCTTCGAGAAAGCTGCAATTTCTCGCGTGCTGTTGGCGCGCCTGCAGGAGCTCGAAAGTTTCGACGAGCGCCCAGGGCTCAGGGGGGGCGATGCGGAGTTGTCGCCCCTGCTGGCTGAAGCAGTCGGCGGCGACGTCGTCCTTTCATCCAGCGCTGCTTTCAAAGGCTTGCTTGTTTGGGCAGGCGACGTGGTGCGCATGCAGAACAATTTTCTATGCGTCGCAGCTCTGGGCCAACGGGGGGACGATCTATTCATTCTTGGGCACGAGTGCGTCGTGATCGAGAAGCGGACGCCGAACGCGTCAGTCCTGCGGAAGGACGGCGAATTGCTTCTTGCGTGGTGGAGCGGCGAATCGGTTGAGATGTGCCACGCTTGGTCGGAGCTCGCCTCTGGCGACATTCTTGCTTTGCACTGAGCGGAAGACAACATCTGCCAGGACAGCGATTGAATCGCTCATCAAAAAAACATTAGCGATTGAATCGCTCATCCTCCTCCACTCCGCATCTTTCTTCGGTCTGCGATCCTGCAGCGATTGAATCGCTCATCCTCCTCGCAATCCGCCCCTTTCTTCGGTCTGCGATCCGAAGCCTCAGCAGCCACGCGGCGTCGGGGGGATGGGGGTACGCGGGGGAGGGGGGGGGAGAGGGGAATGATAATGTGCGATATGTACAATTCGAGGGTTGCAAAGGAGCCCAAATTTAACTTATTTCAGACAGTTGCAAGTAGTTTACAAGTTATTTGTAACTTTGATAAGTTCTTTGGCCTGCAACTTACAACTCGCAGTTACGATAGTCACATCCCTGGGTAACTTGGGCAGCTGCAATTACAAGTGGTAAACAATGCAACCATCTATGCTAACATCAAGTTGGGTAGTTGCATGTTAGTTCTTCAGATGACCTTAGCTATGTATCAACTTACACCATGCTGTAACCAAAGCTGGCCAGCTTCAAGTTTTCTAACCCAAAGTCGCTACGCCAGCTGGCCCGTTGGGCCGGCGAATTGAATCGCTTCGCTCATTCCGCCGGCCCTCGAGCGCTCTATGGGGCCTCTTTGAAGCCTCTTGGGGGCCTCTTTGATGCCTCCTAGGGGCCTCTTGGGGGCCTCTTGGGGGTCTCTTGGGGCTCCTTGGCGGCGTCTTGGGGCCCCCTTGGGCCTCTTGGGGGGCTCTTGGGGGCCTCATGGGGCGGGGTAGTCGAGTGTACCCCCCTCGGAGGCCACGATCCTCGTGAGGGGTGTCGAAAAACAGGCCCTCAAAACCATCTCTGGGTAGACTTGGTCGGGCTACGGTCGGGATACTTTTCGCCGGGGGACCCCAGGGGCCGCCCCGCGCGCGCGAACTAGAAATATTGTGAACCATTTACCGGAGATCTTAGCACGCCTCTGGCCCGTTGGGCCGGCGAATTGCATATACCTTTGCACCTATTGCCTCTCCATCTGTGCTACTCGCAATGCTCGGGCTTCGAGGGGAGTGGGTCGAGGCCCCTCGGGGTCCCGCCCTGAAGGAGGGCAGAGTATCTGGGGGGCTGGGGCCTGGGGATGCCGGCCGAGGCGCCGCACCGGCGGAGCCGGGCGAAGCGGGGCGGAGCTCCCTGGACTTCTGGCTCGCGGCCCTGTTCGTGCACGCGCCAGGGCCCCCGCCCGCGGAAGCAGAGGAGGGCGCGAGGCGGCGACGACGACGACGACGACGACGACGACGACGACGACGACGACGACGGCGACGACGGTGGCGGCGGCGGCGGCACACAGCGACAGAGGGCGACGACGGCGGCGCCAGCGACAACGATGGCGACAGCGGCGACGGCGTCGACGCCAGCAGCAGCCGCGGTGGCGCCAACTGCGACGCCTAGTGCAACCCCAGCGACGATGATGGTGGCGACGACGCCAGCGACGTCGGCGGCGACGCCAGCGATGGCGGTAGCGGATGACGACGCTGACGCCGACGAAAGCGACAGCGTCGATGACAGCAGCGACGGCGACCCCAGATCCACACTCGTCGCGACCCCAGACACAATCAGAATTTCAGCGGATTTCGTGGTCTGGGCCCCTTGCCGAGCCCCAGGTACCCAAGACGATTCAGGATGTAACGCCGGTCCCTGGGAAGGGGGTCCAGGCCTCTGCAGTCAACGCTGTGAACAGACAAGGCGTCGGGGGTCTGGGGACTGCCGACGGCGGCGGGGATGACGGGCTGTCCTCACCTCCGCCGTGCCCCCCACGAGCCTACGAAAGTGGCAACAATCGCGCATGTCGTCGCATCCCAAGGAGCCGCGAGGTCTTGGCTGCATCCGCATGATCCCCGACTCCGCCGTGCCTCCCAAGGAGCCCGCGAAAGTGGCGACAGTTGCACGGCTCGCAGCCCCTCCGGGGAACTGCGAGGTCTCAAACGGTCCCGTGCACTCCCCCATTCCGCTGGACCTCCCAGGAGCCCACGAAAGTGGTAACAATTGCGCAGTTCACAGCCACCCATGGAGCAGCGAGGCCTCTCTCGTCTGGCTGCGCGTGCCCCCCAACCCCTCTGGACCTCCCAAGAGCCACCGAACGTGACGACAGTTGCGAAGTTCGCAGCCCCCCAGGGAGCAGCGAAGCCTCGACTGGGTGCACGTGGCCCCTGACCCCGCCGTGCCCCCCAGGAGCCCACGAAAGCGGCGACGGTTGCGAAGCTCGCAGCCCCCCGGGGGCCGCGACGTCTCGTCTGGGTGCGCGTGGCCCCCGACTCTGGTGGAACCTCCAGGAGCCCACAAAGGAAGCGACCAATGCGCAGGGAGCCTCGAGGCTGCTGGGTCCGCGTACTCCATGAGCCCGCCGTGCCTCCCAGGAGCCCTCGAAAGTGGCAACAGCTGCGAAGTCGCAACCACCCACGGAGCTGCGAGGTCCCGTCTGGGTGCGCGTACTCTCCTGCTCAGCCGTGCCCCCCAGGGTCCACGAAAGTGGCGACAGTTGCACAAGTCGCAGCCCACCAGGGAGCTGCGGGATCTCGGATGGGTGCGCGTACTCCCCGACTCCGCCGTGCCTCCCAGGAGCCCACGAAAGCGGCGCCATTTGTGAATGCCACGTCCCCCCGAGGAGTTGCGAGGTCTGAAATGAATCCGTTTACTCTCCGATTCCGCCGTGCCTCTCGAAGAGGCCGCGAAAGTGGAGACAGTTGCACAGCTCGCATCCCCCCTAGGAGCTGAGAGGTTTCTAATGGTTGAGTTTGCTCACCGACTCCGCCGTGCCTCCCAGAAGCGCTCACAGCCCCCCAGGGAGCTGAGAGGTCTCTAATGGTTTAGTTTGCTCCCCGACTCCGCCGTGCCTGCCCACGAAAGTGGCGACAGTTGCACAGTTCGCAGTTCTCCAAGGAGCTGCGAGGTCTCAAATGGGTACATGTACTCCCCCACTCCGCCGTGCATCTCAGGAGCCCACGACAGCGGTGACAGTTATATAGTTCGCAGCCACCCAGGGAGCTGCGAGGGCTAAAATGGATCCGTTTGCCTCCCGGCTCCACAATGCCTCCCAGGAGCCCACGAAAGTGGTGACAATTGTATAGTTCGCAACCACCCAGGGAGCAGCGCAGGAGGAGGCAGAAAGAGGGGGCGGTGGAGAGAGAGGCGTGCGACCGCAGCGTTCTATCCGAAGCGAGAACCCAACACAGGAGGATTGGGAAGCATTGCGAACAATAGGAAATCAATATTTGTTGTATCCTCAGGCCGTTTGGGGGGCTGCTCTTGGGAGGCGTTTGGGCCGTCCAGGGGGTGTCTTCGTCCGAATTGGAGGGCTTGGGCCGTCTTGGGGCCCTCTCGGGGCGCTGTTCGGCCCTCTTGGGGGCCGCCCATGGCACTCTTGGGGCCCTCTCGGGAGCCTCTTGGGCCCATCTTGGGACCCTCTTTCGGCCGTCTGTGAGCTCTCTTGGACAATCGTGGGGGCCGTCTTATGGCGATCTGCTAAGCCGGTTGGGCCGTTTGGGACCGCCAGAAGATCGAAAATGCGAAAATCGTACACATTTTCTCTTGGGCCAGGACGCGGCCATTGGGAACCCTCTGGGAACGCTCTTGGATCGTTTTCCGGTCCTCTTAGGTCTCTCAGAGGCCGTGTTGGGGGCATCTTTGGCCGTCTTGGACGCTATTGGGGACGTCTTGAAGCGACAGACGGCGACGACGGCGGCGCCAGCGACAACGATGGTGACAGCGGCGACGGCGTGCGGCGCCAACGGCGACACCGACGGCAACGCCAGCGACGACGATGGTGGCGACGACGCCAGCGACGTCGGCGGCGACGCCAGCGATGGCGGTAGCGAATGAAGACGCTGACGCCGACGGAAGCGACGGCGGCGATGACAGAGCCGCGGCGCCGCCGACGGCAATGCCAGCCACGACGATGGTGGCAACGATGCCAGCGACGTCGTCGGCGGCGACGCCAGCGATGGCGGTGGCGGACGAAGACACTGACGCCGACGGGGGCGACGACGAAAGCGACGGCGGCGATGATAGCAGCGACGGCGACCCCAGATCCACTCTCGTCGCGACCCCAGACCAAATCAGATCTTTAGCTGATTTCGGCCTCTGGGGCCCCTTGCCGAGCCCCAGGTACCCAAAACGACTCAGGATGTAACGCCGGTCCCTGGGAAGGGGTCCAGGCCCCTGCAGTCACCATTGTGAACAGACAAGACGTTGGGGGTCTGGGGATTGCCGACGGCGGCGGGGACGGCGACGTCGAGGCTGATCATCGCCGGCACTCACCTCGACGTCGTGACGCCTGAGCAGCGAGAGGAGGTGTTCCAGCGGGTGGACGACCACCTCGCCAGGCATCTCCACGAGGAAGAACAGGGGCCCTGATGAAAAGGGGCTTTGGGGTTCGAGGATCGAGGTTTTTTCTACCTTTGTAGTCGGGGTCTCTGAAGACCTCTGCAAGCTGCTTCTGGAGACCATGATGGAAAGACGTTCTGCGGGAAACGAGCCCGGAGAGACATCCTCAGGCTTTTCGGCCGTCTTCGACCGGGCGCTGGGCCGCTAGAAAGGGCTCGGCATGAAACAGTTTGGCCTGGAGCAGGCTCCGGGGTCTCCGGCTGAGCGTCGCGTAACGGGGGGGCGATAAATGGGAGGGCGGCGAGGGTTGCAGAAAAGTTGCCTAAAGGGGCCCTTGGGGCCCACCAGAGGGGGGCCTTTAGGGCCTGAGAAGTGCACCTTTCTCCCGCCCCCTCTCCCCCTTTTGCGCCCCCCTTTGAGCGACGCCCAACCTGGGGGCCTGTTTCCCTCTGGACTTTGTTCCTTGTCCATGGCAACGAGGCAGCTGGAGCGGATGCCGTCGCTGAGAAAGCAGCTGCGCGTCAACGAGGCCGAGCAGCTGCTATTCTTCCCCGTGGACAACACCCGCGCCACCGAGGCAGGCGTCAGGAGCGTGGAGCGGCTGCGGGCGGCTCTGGGCCTTATGGCCCAGGAGAAGGCGAAGAAGCACTCCTGTCCAACCAGGTTTGCGCACTTCTTCCACGTGCTCACAGGCACCGACGAGACCGCCGGCTCCCGAAGAACGGATATCTGCCAGGTACAAACTTTCGGAGGTCCGCGTGGCTTTATCAGATCGACACCACCCCCCCCCTCGCCCATGGCGCGCGCGGTGCTGGAGGCGCCGCCACGGGGGAGTCCAGCGCAGATCCACCAAGTCTGCGCGGACCTCTGAAAGTTTACTGTAGGCGTTGGAAGTATAGCGTGTGATGTGGCGCCGAAGGCCTGCTGATGACATGTCCTGACCCCACCCTTGGGGATAACGTGCGCCGAAGAAGCCCAGGCAAGGGGACAGCGTGCACAGAGGGGCCCTCGCAGGGGGGATTGCCTGACAAGGACCTTGTGCTTTTTCGGAGATCTATCTTGCACGCTATCTTTCCAGCACCAGGCGTCGGTGTCTGCAGTTCTTGGTTCCTCCAGGCTCGCCCGCCACCAGCCCCCGCACCAGCCCTGAGCCCAGGCAGAGGCCCCGCAAGTACGTGAGCCTGGAGGACTGCCAGGTGCTGGCGCGGGCCTGCGGGCTGACGCCGTCAAGCGGCGAGCTGGACCTCAGAGGAGGAAAGCGTACCAATAACTGGGCGACTGGCAGCGGCCTGCGCGTTCGGTCTTAGCCACCCCTGCGTCCGCCCTGGAGCCGCGCACCAGTGGTCGCTTTCTTTTGTACATGTGGGATCTCTCTTGCGTGTGGCCGAGGTGCTGGTAGGCTGTACCTTCTCCGTCCTGCTGGCTCTCGATCTGGGCCTGCTGCCAGCCGTAGGTCAGAGGGGGGAGGGTACGTACCAATTCCGCTACCCTTCCCCTTCGCTTTCGCCTTGTGGGGCCTCCTTGGAGGCCCTCGTCGCCACGGCTGGATTCGCTTTGAGATCTGGCTTAGAACACACCCTGGGAGAGGTCCGTGGAGTAGCGGTATGAATATGATATCAAAGTGCTTCCCGAGGACCGGTTCTTGAGGCTCTTCCACAGCCTCGGGCACCTGCTTTACTTCCCTGGCTCCCCTGCAGTGGTGCTCTGCGACCAATTTCGAACCCTGACTCTTGCGGGTTCCATCGACGCTGGTGTATCCAACACCCCCGCTTTTGGCCACCGTGCTGTGGACACCCCTCGGATTTTCAACCCCTGCCGGCTTTGCGGGGATAGGACAGGGATACATCGCTCCAGGGCGTTCGGGATCGCTCTCTGGGCGTTCCGGAGCGCTTCGGAACGGCCGCAGCGCACGATACATTTTCCAGAACCGCCGGATCTCAGAGATCCCCGATGACTCGTCCGGATCCGATTTTGTTCCGTTCTTGGCTTCGGGGGAGGCCTAGAGGGGGGGAATGACTAGCGGGGTCGATCCATTGCTTGTGACCGGCTCTTCATCCCGCGTGGCCCGGCGAGGCCCCCCAGAGGCCGAAGATTGCAAAAACCACCATCCGTGTTTTTGTTGGCTACGAAGCCCACTTGAGCAGAGTTACGTAAACCCTTGAAGCTACTCAGGGGATGTGTTAATAAGTTAGGTTTGGCCAGATGTGGCCCACCTAGGCATCCACTTATATCCCCCTATCCTCTTATCAACGCGGTGATCCAGGCAGGCGTTCTAGTTCGTCCATCCCCGATCCGTTTTTGTTGGACCCGAGGCCCAAGTACGGGCCCCCCATAACCAAGGAAAAGCGCCTGGACTCAACAAGTCATATCGTTGGATATCTGGGCTTGGAAATCATATTATGTATAAGCTAGGTTTGGCCCAGCACGGGCCCCAAGAGGCCGAGAATAACGGAGCACCCTCCGTTGTGATTGTTCCATGCCTCGAGGGGGGTCTGGGCAACGAGGTGCTGGACCCGCAGTGGCTACTGGACGCCATGGCCCAGGTGGTGGACTGCCCGCGGGTGCTCCAGGGCCGCTGGCACAGCGCCCGGGAGCTGCGGGAGCGGGGCCTCCTCAGCCCCGAGCTGCTGTCCCTCTTGTGGCAGGACCCGAGGTCCGAGGGAAGAAGCCCGCTGACCATGACCAGGATGTCGCGGTATCGTGTCGACGCCGATCTTGGTCATGATCCATGTTGCCCGTGGCCGGCACGCGGGAAGGATCCACGGTGTGACGCTGACCAAGGAGGATGGTGACAAAGATCGACACCGACGCTCTGCGTTCAGTATTTGTCATGGTCATCGTTGTTGTTCCCCTCCAGAGGTTCGTCGGCAGCAAATCGTGGGAGGCTCGTATACCCTCGCAATCGCAATTCCGCTGTCAGAGCGCACTGGCGCCGATCATCGTCTTGCCATGGATGAATCAGTGACGATGTAGCGTCGATTAGCGTCGACTCGTAAGAGCCAACAAGATGGTATGGGAGGCTCCCAGGAATTGCCACCGAACGAGGTTCCAGCGGCACGAGCACATCCTCAGGTCGGCGTGGTGCCAGAATCGTCCCGAGCGCCCAGATCATTGGATGCCAGATACCAGGTTTGGGTTTCTCGCGATCGGTAACGACTGATCGGCACTCCAAATCTGTGGCGACCGATCGCGACCGCTTCCAAAATCGTTCGCGACCAGTCGCGACAGATCGCAACCGATCGGTCGCGACCGATACCAGAGCTTGAAGTAACGGGCACATCCTCAGGCCAGGTGTTGCCATAATCGTTCCGAAACGGGGGGCGACAGGTTCGAGGTTCGAGGTTTTCGGACTTGCCGATTCCTGTGCGTTTTCCAGCCTCATGATGCGGTCCAGCAGCTACGCCTCGCTGAGAGCGTTCCAGGGGTGCCCGAATCGTCTCGATCGGGTTCCGAAGACAACACACAGCTATGACCCGAAAACCAGACAACGTGGATCAAATCGGAGCCCCAGACCTGGTGCTGCCACATCCACCGACGATCTAGAATTTTTCGCTGCGGTCATTTTTCCTCCCCTGAGATCCTGGCGTCGCAGTGTTTGTCGCACTGTGTATTTTCGCACAATTCGGGGCCCATGACCCTCGCGGATCGATCCAGCTCGAAAAGTGCAGCCGAACGATGGAGCCTTGGGTTCCGATTGTGGTTGGGTACGATGCTGCAGTTTTTTCATGACGTCGGATCGCTCCGGGGGTGCCTGGATCGTTCTGATGGGCCGCTGGAGACCCGAGCTGTGATCCGAAGACCCCTTCGCGTCGTAAGAAGAAATCGCAGCGGGCGGCTTGCACATGCTCTAGACGTTTGGCGTAACCCTGCCAGCCAGTCCAGAAACGATGCCCAGACGAGTTGTCCTGATCAGGGATGCCGAGGAGCATGCATTGTAATAGAGGCTAGTAAGACGTCATGCAAGGATGGCGGAGGAGGGGGAGGAAGGAGGAGGAAGGAGAACGAATAGGCGGACGATGAGGAGGAGGGGAAGGACGAGGAGGAGAACGTGGAGCAGAAGGATGAGGGCTAGCAGAACGGCCAGAGGCCTCTTGGATGCCTCTCGGAGTCTCTTCCGATGGGCCAGAGGCCTCTTGGATGCCTCTCGGAGTCTCTTCGGATGTCAACGAGAGCTTCTTGGAGTCCCCTTGGGGCGTATGGGGGGGGTCCTGGCAGTCTGGGGGGCCTCTTGGGGCGTCTTGGGTGCCTCTGGGAGTCCCATTGGGCCTCTTGGGAGTCTCTTGGGGGCATCTTGAAGCCATCTTCGGGGCTCTGGGGGCCTCGTGGGGCTTCCTGGGCACCTCTTAGGCTCTTAGGGCCGTCCTGGGGCACACTTGGGAGCCTCGAGGGCTATCTTGGAGCCATCTTGGAGGAGATCGATCAAAGGAGGGGCCGTACTAAGTTTGCACACGCCCCCAGGAGGCCAGAATGTGACCCAAACCTTTCTGTAAAATCGATGATTGCGGCCTTCTCGCCGAGGCCCAAAAAAGTCCCCTGACACCTCGTGGGGCGCCCCGTCTTGATCCAGGGGGTGGGGGGAGGGGAGAGGTAAACGCCTCCCCGAAGTGGAAGAATGGGGGATGGAAGAGGAAACCCTTTTGAACCACTCACACCCGAAACGCCTGGTGGAAGCTTCTGCACCCTGAGGGCCCTCGCCGGGCCGTGGGACCGTGAAATCACGTGTCAGGACGAAACGCCGGCCCTGGGGAAGTGGTCGAGCGGGCGCTTTTCCTGGATTTCGGTGCCTCTGGGGCCCAGTAAAGGGCCCCGGGCCAATCAAAAGCGGACTCGGGACGCAGAGCCTTTCCCGGGGGAAGGGTCTGTAGATTCCTGGGGCCGCGGACTGAACACAACCACATCGGCGGATGTATGAGAAGGTGTCTCCGGCCCAGGGCGCCGCCAGGAGTTTCAGGGTGGTCGGCCCACGCGGCCTCCGCAGGGGACTCCTTAGTAAGCCCCGGGGCCCCCGTGGGGCTCCCAAGCTGCACGAAATCCGGGGGCCCGGCCCCCCGTCGCCGCGATCTGTTCACAACGTGGACTCCTGGAGGTCTGGACCCCTCCCTCAGGAGCGACTTGCCTTCTCATCTCGAACCGATGTTTGACGTCGCCCGGGGCCGCCGAGGGGCGCCCCCAGAACCCGAGAATATTTCAAAAGGCCTCCCCGTTTGGATTCCCTTCACGGCGCGAGTGGGTCTGGCGAGACTCGAGAGCTGCGCGGAAGTTGGGGGCGCTTGGGGCCAGGAGCACATTTTGCCATCCGCAGCGCGCTCCGTGGCAGAGGGAGAAGGGAAACGAGGACCAGGAGGAGGAGGCGGAGGAGGAGGAGCAGCAGCAGCAGCAGCAGTAGCAGGAGGAGGGAGGAGCAGCCAGGAGGAGGAGGAGAAAGGAGGGGAGAGGAGGATGAGAAGGAGGAAGGGAAGCAAGCCTCGGTTGACCGAGGACCGTGGCTGCGCGCCAGCCCGCACGGGGCCAGCCGCGAAGCGCACCTTCTCCAACCACCCACTGATTACGCTGCGCTGCGTAGCACCACCTGGACCCCGACACCAGCTACGTACGTTAGCACAGCACCACTGGCACGGCCATTCTGGCCAAGCTCTACCGCAGCTTCGACAACTACATCGCACGCCCACACCGACCAGCACCACTTGCTCGGCCATCTTGGCCAAGCAACTCCACCCACACTGCAGCATTTGCAAACAGTAGCACAAAGACGTCGCTAACTACAAACCCTGCCTGGCACCGGTGCGAGCGGGAAATGCAGGCAATTGCACGTAAACTATTATGGGTAGCCTCAGCGCGCACCTAATTTGACGAACAGACTCAACAAGAGTTTCATACAGCTAGACGTATCCTCGACCAACAACATAGCGCGCAGCAACCACCGACACATTCGACCTACACAATAACAAGATACGCACAGACAACCCCAAGCGACGGTCAAAGGCAAGGCGAATCACCAATACCAGCCACAACACAACTAGGGTAATGGGCCCACTTGGCAACCGATTGGCCACGCAGTCTAAACCCGGTTTCACAGCAACCATACCAGCTGCCATACAACAGTGCGTACCACCAGCCAGCCAGTACACCACCATACTTGGACCAAAAACAGCACGCGTCGCGTCCACCAAGACCGACTACGCGAAGTCGCGGTCCACACCAGACGATTGCCACCACCGCGAGAAGCAGCGACGATGTACCACAACCAGTCTTCGGATCCGCTTCAGACCATGTGGCATACACGACACGAGAGAACCCCGCACTCATTGACGACATACGAGACGCACACCACACATACGTACTGCACAAGGACAAGCCATGAGCTACACTGCCAAGGTGGGAGCATTGCATACGAACCAAGCAGGCGAACTTTGCAAACATGCATTACAGGTACTACAATGTCGCAAGCTTGCTTCGGCAACACATCGGAGCCAACAGAAGACAGCCGTTGGACCAATAGCCTCAAGCTGGGAAGCTGCATAACATACGACGAGTCAAACATGACTACACAACATGCACCAACATTTCATACGCTACTCTCAAAATGAGCTTCACAAACACGACTACACCAACTGCAAGCCAAAGACCTGCGCAAATCTCGAAACAGGAGCTGCTCACCAACCGACAGCATACACCTAGCGCAGACCAGCGACCACTGGACATACAGCCCAGCATCTACCCAGTTGAGCGACCACCACTCGACCCACCCACGCCGACCAAGCATGACGCAGGAAAAAAACCCAGCTACGCAATGACCCAAGAAGCTACTACCTTCAGCATGCGACAAGCTCAAGGCCAACGGCTGAGCCATAGAATACCTTAAAGTGTGGCAGAACTTTGGCTGTAGAAGGCAGAGCCAGTTCACTGCTGCGGGCAATAAAAGGCACTATACAAATGAAGCCAGCGAGAACCTCCCCATCAACTACCATGAAGTCAGAGAAAGCAACCATGCAATACAACGTGCTGAACTACGTCTTCAGGCAAGAATGGGCACTGCTTTACGACAAGAACAAACAGCACTACGCGACAGAGACAAGATCAGCCCTTAAAACAAGCAACGGTTACAACACTTAGAGAGCATCACAGAACATGCCACGCAACATCACACAGCTCACACGCATCCAGGCAAAAGGAGAGTACTCCATGACAGCTGGTCAAGCACACCACGACTCCCACAAGACAACGGAATCTACCATCTCAATACGAGGATCAGAACTACCAGAACAAGAAGCGCAACCCACGGCTAAGTATACTAGTGGGTCCGCGGCAATATAGGACTCCAAAGCTCGCCGCGGCTCCCTCACCCGTGCATTTTTTACCAGACGATTATGGGAGATGCTCGCATTAAAGAAAGGCAGCAACACAACGCGCCCAACTGGGCGGGACCACCTAGTCCCCAAAGACAATTGGATAGAGTTCTCTCATACACCTCCTCGGTGGTGGCTTTAATCACCAGCGCTGCTGGAGCACTTTAGACGACCACGCGAAAAGCCAATTATCCACTCCCTCCCGGCTCCACATGCCTTCTTCCGCCTCCCCTGCCGCTTGCCACACTTCTTTTCCCCCCCTATTCCGATGGTGGCGGGATTAGGCGGGGTTGCAACGGGCGGAAGGGGTAGACTCACCAACGGCCGTTTTGGCATTGGCCAGGGCGGCCGAGGAAGCCATGCCAAAATTTCACGCTTACCTTTGCGCGCGCACCTCTGCGCAGACCCAACATGTCCTGTCCTACCCTGTCGCGCCCACCGGCTGCGCCAGCAGCCGTGAAGTCACCGTTCATACCGCCGTGCTGCATTTCTATTCTCTTTCCACCGCCAGCAAGCCGACTTCTAGGTCCCTCTCTTGCCACCCAGCACACCCCCAGTTTAGCCCCAGTTGCAGAGCCACTCGTGGGTGGTGGAGCGGATTGACGGTAGTATGGTGTGCGAGGGAAGCCGCTGCTACCGCTGACTGACCTGGCGGAAGCCAATCAGCTGCGGCAAGTAGCATTGGCAGCATTGTATCTTGCCTGAGTGCTCCGCAGCTTCCCACCGCAACCTGCCTTTCGCTTCAGCCGATTCCAGCGCAACCGTCTCCGTTGACTCCTCAGCTCCCCTGCTGCTTGTCTCTTGCTGTGCCTTTCGTTCCCGCACTCAGCTTTCACACGTGTTCGACTGATTCCATTCGCTCATGGCCGCCATTCTCGGGACGGTCGGTGGGGCTACACATGAGATCTGGAGGGTAGGCAGGAAGACGTTCAACCCCACCGCCGCAGGAAGGCACAAGCCTCCCCTCGCCCAGTGGGCATCCCAGGGTGGCCCTAAGTTCCGACCTCGGTTGCCCTTCAACCTCCTCGGCGAGTGAGGGTCTCCAGGCGGTGACCGGGGGCCGTCCCGCCGAGATGCTCTATGGCTGGGGGGAGAGGCGCACCAGCCGCCACCTCGCGTCCCCCCCAGGGTGCAGGGGAACTTAGACACCCTGCTTCTGGAGGGGTGCTACTTTAGTTTGATCACCCCCCCTCAGGGGCGACCGCCCTTGGCGGGGGGATGGCGGCGTCTGAACGACACGAGCGCCACCAGCTCCAGCCTCTAAGCAGGAGTGAGGGGAAGGGGGAGGAGGAGGAGGAGGAGGAGGAGGAGGAGGAGGAGGAGGAGGAGGAGGAGGAGGAGGAGGAGGAGGAGGAGGAGGAGGAGGAGGAGGAGGAGCAGGACCAGGAGTAGGAGCAGGGGTGAAGAGGGAGGAGGAATGAGGGCACATTTGACAACCAGGGCCTTCCTGGAGCACTTCGACCTCCTCGTGCGGGCCTGCGACGACCTCGCCGGCCAGCCGCGCTGGCTCGTGCCGAGCCTGCTGCCGCCCCAGCCGGGCGGGGCGCCGCAAGGCCCTGGCGGCGCGCACCCGCAGGGCGGGACGACGGGCCCTCGACCCGCCTCTGATGGGCCGATCTTCCACCACATCTACCACAGGTAGGAGAGGGAGGAAGAAGAGGAGGAGGGGGAGGATGAGGAGGACCTCCCCATCCTCCCGTTCTCCCCCGTTCTAACCATGGTAGTGGTGGTGGAAAATCGGCCTATCGCCTTCGCTTCGTGACATCATCGCGACAGCCGAGCTTAGGATCGAGCTGCGAGCTTCAGGGATGAGAGCTCCTTGGATCTCTGCGGGGCCTTCTCGCCGCCACGGCTGGGTCTGCCTCCAGATTCTGTTCAGCACGCGCCCTAGGAAAGGTCTGGTGGTCGCTTGTTGGCCCCTGGACACAGGCACCCTCGCGTCGTGAGGAAAACCGCGGCTCGAGGTTACAGGTCTTGGTGTTTCTTCTGTTCTCGATGGTTTGCCAGCCTCCGGATGCGCTTCAGCAGCTGCGCCTCGCCGAGAGCGTTCTGGGGGTGCCCGAATCGTTCCGATCGTCCCCTGGAGATTTGAGGTACGATCCGGAATCAAGACGCTGATAATCAAGGCAAAGCCCCAGACCCTCTCGTGCCTTCAAACAAATAGCGACCGTTGCGATGTTACCATGTTTGGCCTTCGGGCCTCCAAAGCTTCAGGCCTCGGGATCCCGCCGTCAACATGCCACTCGGGAGGAAGAGCCTGTCCCAGAAAGTGGGTCGAGACCTCCAGGGGTCCACGTTTTGAACAAATCATGACGTCGAGGGTTCGGGGGGACGGGGGTCGTCTTTGGATCATCGGGACAAGCGCCGGAGGGACGGACGCCTGGCCCTTGGTGGCGCATAGGACCTATATCAGATCGCCGCGCGTTGCTTCCAAGCAGAACCAAAAGCCTTTGACGAGGCATTGAGCGAGGCTGTAGCTGATCTGGCACACTAAGATAGGTTACGCTCTCCTGCGCAAAGGAAAAGGAGAGCGACATTCCAGACATCGGGCGGCCAGGGTGTCTCGATGCACGGGTCCCCGCACCTCCGCGGTCCCTGTGCCAACGACAGTTTTGTTGCATAGTCCCGGTGCTGGTAACAAGTCTCCAGTGTTTGAAAGGGCGAGAGAATCCAGAGGAGCCAGATGGCATGATAATTCCCCAAACAGTGTTTGCGCTTTGGGGTTCTAACTTTTGAAATAAGGAACTAGGCCTGACTGCCGCCCCGGTCGGCTTAATGTCGCCGTTTCCGCCCGTCGCCGCCGTCCGTCGCCGCTGCTCCTGGACCTGGCTGCCGCTTCGGCGAGCTTGTTGTCGCCGTCGCCGCCCGTCGCCGCCGTCCGTGTCCGCTGCTCGTTGGCCTCGCTGCCGCATCGTCCGGCATGTTGTCGCCGTCGCCGCCTCGCTGCCGCATTTTGGTAGCAATTTTGATTGTGCGAGCCTCGTAGATTGCACTTCGTAGCGTGCAACACATAGACATAGATAGCACCACGTAGCTTGCACCACATAGTGTGCACTACAGATGTTTCACCATATAATAATATTTCACCACAGGCACTGCATTACATCGGTTGCGCCACATATCTTACGCCGCATATTTTGTAGCACATGGGTGGCACCACACATGTTATGCACCACGCACATTGCACCACGTAGATCCCCGTTCTTCCCCAAAAAAGGCATTCGGATCCACCACCACCACCGTTCCCCCGGGAGTCTCACGCGGGCCTCGCGTCTTGCTATTTGCATGCGATATTACCCCATCGTCCAGTTTTAGATAAAAGCTCGTACCATCGCAGCCAAGCCGTTTTACCAAAAACCTATGCGCGCGCATTCGTTGACCTAAGACGGTCAAGATGCAATATTCCATGGCAACACAAAGAACCTTACAAAGTCCATGCGCGCGTCGTCCTTCGTGCGCATACCGAATCTTGCAACAAGTGTTGAGGCTTCCTGAGAATTTCTAAATCGAGCGTCCTGTAAACATCTCAGAAACAATGGTTTCCCAACATGTTCTTCCCACACAATTGCGCGCTTGCAAGTCCGTCGGGTGACCATGAGGTTCTCGCATTTTTCTATCACATGCGACCAAGCGGGCCTCTCGCACGCGCATGTCGCAATCATTCGATCCCCCTTGCGCGCGTGGTGGGAGGGGGGGCGATCCTTGTCATGCGGGCCACTCACGCCTGTCGGCCGCGCGCGCATGTCGAAGTCCTTACAACGTTTTCATCACCAACACGTGGACACCGTCATCGGCATCGACGTCATCAGCATTCGCACCGTCATTGGCCGTGCCGTCGTCGTTACCACGCCAGCATCGCTACTATCATCATCGTATTAGCCGTTGTCGGCGTCGCCATGATACCGCGCCTGGGCGAGCCACCGACCTGCACTGAAAGGTCCGCGCGTCACCGCGGGTTGCGAGACGCGCTGGGAAGTTCCCAACGGTCAGCGCCATCGCGGTCCTGTCGGTCGCGTCAGACTAGTTGACCGGTCTGCTCGCGAGCTTGCGCGCGCCGGCGCGGCCGCAACGATGCGCCAACCAGCGCCAAGCAGTCACCGTCCCACGGTCTTTGCAAACGAAGTTGTGGGTGGTGTGTTGTTGGGTGGGACGCTTGGGCGAACAGTGGAGTTGACAACTCCAAATTCGGAAGGTGAATTGCACCACAGAGCTTGCACCATCTATGATCCAGGGCTGCGGGCCCACGACGCCCACCCCCAAGATGGGATGGGCCCTAGGGCTCCACGATTCCCCCCCAGCCCTGATGGGATGAGGGGGACGACGACGGCGACGACGACGACGACTCTTACGACGGCGACGACTCTTACGAACGACGACGGCGGAGGCGGCGGCGACCGCCGATCTCAGGAGCCCTCCGATGACGGCGGCGGCGGCGGCGGCGACGACGACGATCTCCGGAGCTTCCTTGACCATCACAGTACCACGGCACAAACGCCACACCAACAGCACCACACCGCACCCACAAGGTGGGGGACCATTGCGAGGGGGTTGCCCACACCCTGTGCCATACATATACATATATATATATAGACATATGTGTATACATATGTATACATATGGCAATGCGTACGTTGGACCACATATATCATCTACAACCCAGCCACCCCAGGGTTTTCACGCTGGCCTCGCGTCCTGCAGTTTACATCTGATCGGGCCCCATCGTTGATTTTTGTGTATGAACACATACCATCCTAGCCAAGCAGGTATCCCCCGTAATCCCTTGCCAAGATTACTATAGGGGCGCACTCGTCTATCATAAAAATCGCCAGCTTGCGAGAAAAACCTTGCAATAAACATGACACAGTCCACGCGAGCGCGCCATCACGCGCGCATTCCGTGACCCCTCAATGAATTTGTAAGTTCCGTGAGATTTCCGAGCGGAGTGTCCCGAAAGCAGAAATCAGACAATGGTTTCGCAACATGGTTGTTCGAAGATGTCTGCGCGTTCTCTTGCGAATTCACTGGGAAACCGTGCGGTTTTCAACATGTGCAGCAATTGCAACCAAGCAGGCCTCTCGCGCTCGCATGTCGAAATCATTCGAGCACCCTTGCGCGCGTGTTGGGGAGGGCGCGGCACCATCGATGCGCCAGCCAGCGCAAGGCAGTCACCGAATTCGCCGCCGCATTGGTTTTGCCAACGAAGTTGTGGGTGGGTGGGTGGGATGATTGAGCGAGCAGTGGAGTTGACAACCTCAAGTTCGACAGGGTGAGTTGCACCACAGAGGGTGCTCCACCTAGATTTGCTCTCGCCCCGAGATTCGGCGTCCCGCATTTTGTCGAGCCGCCATATGTCTGCGTTATGGAGTGAGAGTGGTCTGGCGGCTCCTGAGGTGGTCCTTGGGCAAGGCATGAGGGCTTCCAACGAACTCGCCCCATGCCTTCTCGGGCCACCGGTTTGCCTCCCCCCCCAACCTTTGGCGTCGTGAACGAATTCAATTCCTTGCACAGATCAGGTGTTTTGTGTTGACGTTTTTGTCTCTCGCAGGGTCTATGCCAGGCGCCAGGACAGTCAAACAATTACTCGAGATGAAAAACCAGCAGTGGAGAAAGGGTCGGGACGTTCTGGGGACTCCGCATCCCAGACCCCCGACATCGAGATTCTTGTTACACCGTGGACACCCAGGGGTCTCGAGACCCCTTCCCCTGGACCCGCTTTTCGTCCCGAGCAGTCATTTGGCGGTCCCGAAGCCTGGCGTAGGAACCCCCATGAGAACGAACAGGATAACAAAACATATCCGTAGTCACGTTCTTCGCGACGAGGGGAGGTCTGGGTGGGAGGACCACGTACGGTGGGGGCGCTGGTTGAGGAATTCACCCAGGAGACTTCAGACCCTAGAGGATTCCTTATCTGATGAGGGCGGCGTCCTGAATTTCGACGGCCTCACGGCCGGTGCCGCCGACCCTGAAGGCGGACGACGGCGACGGCGACGGCGATGACGGCGACGACGTTCCAAACCTTGGATTCCTTACCCAGCGATTTCTTATCCAACGTCATCGCCTTATGGAACAAGCCAAGACGTCGGACCTCCGGGCGGGCGCGTCGGCGCCGGCCGACAGAGGCGGCGCGCACGCTCAGAGCCCTTCGCGCAGCGCGGCCCGGCCGCGGCCCTCGGCTGCAGAAGGCCCCCCCCCCTTGCCCATGGGGGTAGTTTGCGTTGCGTCCGGGATCCCCATACATGCTCGCGTCTTGACGCTGGGAACTGGGACCGTCAAAAACGGCCCGGGCTGAAGAGTCGGTCCTGGGCAGTGGGTCGAGACCTCCAGGGGCCCCTTACCACTTGGATGTCCGCGGGGGGTGCTAAGGGGATAAGGGGTATCTAAGTGGATGCCGAGATGGGTTCTACCTGGCCTACCCCAGCCTAGCCTTTCAAGAGGGCTGCACTGCCCTATAGCTTGAAGGGGTTCGGTAACTCTGCTAAGTGGGCTCCGCCCTCTTAGCCCAAATCTTTGCCCCACGTATAGGGATGTGGGCACTTGCGACCCACTCATGAGCTAGGTTCGGCGATATAAACCCATCTTGGCATCCACTTGAAGCTCTCCTGTCCCCTTGGCATCCCCAGCGGTGATCCAAGCAGGGGGTAGTTTTGCGTCCCAGATCCATCTCTAATGGTTCCGATGCCCAACAACGGGCCGCAGGAGCAGAACATCTATGGAACAAGGCCCGCATTGTAGAAAAACATCCGGTCGGGAACTTTGGGATAGCGTGCGCCAGTTCTGGCCCACCATGCGTCGGCGCGACACGCTATCCATTTCCAGGTGCCCAGGCGTTCACGTCCTGAGCTTTTCGGAGCCCCCCGCCCCGCGGGGCAGAGCGACACGTATCCGCTAGCAAGGCCTATCGTGTCTCCGGGGCCACCGCCGCGACACGCTAAGCACAAGTTCCCGACCGTATGCCGACGCAGATTTGGGCGCGAGACTTCCAGGGGCCCCGCACCGAACAAGTACAGGCATCGGCTCCCTGGGTCTGTGCGCGCCGCCGTTGGGGCTGCGCCCCCTAGATCCTGAAAGATCGAAGTCTTCACCAGGAAGAGGCCCCGCATCGAACAGACCAAGACGTTAGATATCTTGGCGTGCGCGCCGCCGAGAGGCGGCGACGCTCGCCGTCCGCGTCGCTCGTCGCTCGCTGTCCCTCGCTGTGCTCGCCGTCGCCGCCGCGGTCGTTGGTTTCCTCCTCTCTGTCGTCGTTGTCTTCTCCCCGTCGCCGTCGTCGTCGCCGCGCTGCTTGTTGGTGCGCGGCGCGGCGCGCGGCGCGGCGCGGGGCGAGCGCCGCCTTCGAGGCGGCGCTGACGACGCGCTGTTGCTGGACTTCCACGGCGCCCTGCAGAAGCTGCTGCCGTCGCTGCTCCCCCGTGTTCTCTGCCAGCTGCGCCGCAGGTGTTCCGGCAGGCTCGTTGTCAGGAAGGTGTTCAAGGAGCTGCCCTCGCGCTCTCCTCATCGATGCAGTTGCGAAACGGTCCTGCGAATAGTGAATCATGGAAGCTTTCGTTGGATTGGAAGTATATCGGCGAGTTCCTCATCCGCAGGCCTCACAAATGGGGTCCGAGTAAATGGGGTCGAAGGATCGCCGCGCATCGTCGATGCATCGACGATGCGGCTCCATGGCGCCGATGCATCGCCGACGTCGCGCTGATGCATCGCCGATGTATCCCAGATGGATCGCCGATGCTTTGCCGATGCGGTGGCGATGCATTGGCGATGCGTCGTGACCCTCCGACACTATATTCAGACCCCGTCTAGGAGGCCTCTATAATCGAGGGATGAAGAACCACCCCGAACCCGACACATTGCTCTTGCTTTGAGTTTACAGAGCAGTCCTGCCATAGTCGGTTCCTTCCTTACTCAGCCGCTTTTACTGGACGGCCTCGCTTGTCGGAGTGCGTATTGTGAGGGTGGTTCTTCCGCCCTCTGCTTCAGGTGCAGCGTTAGGGGGCGACAGGCTCAGAGGAAATTCTCGACAGCTCCCCAAACAGTGTTTGCACGGAGGGATTCTCATGTGTCTTTCGGCTGGTGCCCAGTTGGTGCCGGGTTGGTGCCCGGTTGGTGCCCGGTCATGGGCGCCCGCAGCGGCTTCGTGGGCGCCCCCGTCCTAGGGGTGTGCCGAGGTTTCCCAGGTGCCCGGTGGGTGCCGAGTGGGTGCCCTGTCGTGGGCGCCCATGGGCGCCTCGTGAAAGTTCCGCGCGGGGGGTATTCCGAGGTTTCGCTTGGTGCCCGTCTGCGTCCGCTCGTGAACACCCCGTGGGCGCCCCGTGCATTCACGACGTAGGCTTACACAACATAGCTTACTCCTGAGAGCTTACATATCATTGACTCTTTTTTTTGAAGGAGATAGGTTCTACCACCCTTCACCCCCCCCCCAGACTTATCGACCCACCTTTGCGTATTGTAAATTACATATGGTTCTGCCCCATCGTCCATCCTACCTGTGAGCTCATGCTATCCCAGCTATGCCGGTATCGCCCCCCCCCCCGCCATCCTCTGCAAGAAATACTAAGCGCGCACATTCGTTTATCGAAAATCATAAGTTTTCAAGGGTCCCTCGCACAAATGGGACGAAGTGCGCCAGCGCGCGTCGTCGCGCGCATGCCGAAATCTTTCAAAACCTTTGGTTTTCGAAGTCTTTTCAAAATCAAGTGTCCAAAACACATTTTTAAAAAATAACAATTCAAGGGTTTTGCAACACGGATTTTCAACAAATGCGTGCGCGCGTTTTTGCGAATTCTTTAGAAAGCATGCGTTTCCAACATGTTCATAAAATGCTACCAAACGGGCTTCGAGCGCGCGCATGTCGAAATCGTTCGAACGCCCTTGTGCGCGTGCTGGGGTGGCACGGTCCGTGTCAACTACCATGCGAGCCGCTCTCGCGCGTCTGCCGCGCGCGCATTTCGAATTCTTTCCAACACCTGCACCACCAACGCGAAGACGTCGTCATCGTCGTCGGCGTGATCAGCATGGGCGCCGTCACTGGCTGCCCCGTCGTCGCTGTCAGCATCGTCGCCAGCATCGCTACAATCGTCATCCTGTCTACCATTGTCGACGTTGCCATGATACCGCGCCCGCCCAAGTCACCGACCTGCACTGAAATGCCCGCTGGGATGTGCCGAGCGGTCAGCGCCACCGCGTTCGCGTAGGTCGCGCCAAGCTAGTTGGCCGCTGCGCGCGCGAGCATGCGCGGGCTAGCGCGGCCGCTGAGATGCACCAGCCAACACCCAGCACTCATCGCAATCGCTCCCGCATGGGTTTTGCAAACCAACTTGCGGGTGGGTGGGTGGGATGATTGCGCGAGTAGTGGAGTTGACAAATTCAAGTTCAACAAGGGATTCACACCACATACGTTGGACCGCATGGCTTGCACAACGAATCTTTTACCACAGAGCTCTCATCACATAGCTCACGTCAGATTTCTCACAACATTGCTTACACCGCGTAGTTTGCACAACATAGCTTGCACAATGCCTCCACAGTAGAATCACTCTGTCTGGCATGGAGTTTTCCAATCAAGGCACGGGGTGGTTTCCATCAGCTGCGTCCCGCCGAGTGCGTTCCGATGGTGTATGGATCGTCCCGAACGGCCGCGAAACGCCCGAGGTATGTTTTGAAAACCAACATCTATGACGCATATCTATACATGTATTTATATATATATATATATATAAAAATATTTATATATACATATATATATATATATATACACACGCGGGCGTTGTTCTTCGATGTCGGCCCTGGGGCCCGCTATTGAGCCCAGGGACCGTCAAGTATGCATCCGGGAGGGAGGGTTTCAGACTTTTGGGGCCGCTGGTTACATCGGCGGATGTCTAGGGCTTGCGCCTATCCCCCGCCTTTCGAAATGATGCCCCAGGACATCAGGAGGCAGTGGATACCCAGGCCCCCTCGCGTCGTGAAAAAATCGTGACGGGACGGTTCTGTTATTTCCGGCGTCTCGGGGCCTTCGCCGGGGCTCAGGATTATCAAGAAAAAGGCTCGGGACGAAACGCCGGTCTTGGGGAACGGGTCGAGACCTGTGGGGGCCAACGGTGTGTGAAAAACTTCGAGTCGGGGGGTCTGGGTGCGGACAGTCTCGGGCCCTGGGGGCCCAAGCATGTCTGCATGTCCGCTGCCTCCTGGTGCTGTGGGGCATCTGTTCCGAGGCCGTGGATGTGTGCAAACGCCGGCCTCGAACGATCGCCCCCGCCCCCGCCGATGCGGGGCACAGGCCACAGGAGAACTGGAGCAGGAGGACGAAGAGGCGAGCGAGGACCCAGACAGCCGGCGGCTCGAAACGAAGGGGGCTGCCGGATTTTCGTCGTGTGGGTTCTCGCGGGACCCGACAGAGTTCGAAACAGTGTGGGGTGAAAGCTGGTTTTGGGCACCATGTCTCCAACCAGTCGGGTCGCGGGATATCGGGGGAGGGAGCGAGGGGGAGAGGGAGCGAGCACGGGCGGGGTGGAGAGGACCCATGGCGCCTCAGAAGCTTCTAGCACAGCCCAGAACCTTCCTGGCAATCATCCAAGGGTCCAAGAAGATCGCGCAAATCCCCCTTCCCTTGTCCTCTCTCCTTCTGACGTACTCCTTCTTACGTACTTGCTCATCCATTGGGGACGGATCTCGAGGAGCGTGCAGCACCGATGCACTACAATCTATACACGTGTCGTCATAGCTGTATTCAGAAGGGGGGGAGAGAGAGAGAGAGAGAGAGAGAGAAAGAGAAAAAGAGAACGAGGGAGGAAGGGAGACTACCCCCTCGCCGCCCCCTCCAGGGAAGACAGAGGCGAGCGCTGGGCCCTTTAGGAGCGGCCCAGACACGGGCTCAAGTTCCTTGCTCCCGCAGGCGGCAGCTGCAGCAGCGGTGTCTGGGGAGACCTCGAAGACGCCGTATCTGTCGAGGAGGGTTTCTCTCCTCCTCGTTTTCATCCTCCCCATCCCCCTGGAAGAGTAGGAGGCGTCGCTCACTGCTCGTCTCACCGCACTCGCTCCTGGTGCCTTTGGGCCCTAGCAGTGATGTGTTTGTTCGTCGCGGGCTGTGTTGTTGGATGGCCCCAGAGCCCCCGCGCATCGAGTTCGATTACAAGCGGTGGGGTGCAGCCGTGCTGCAGTGTGTCTTTGGCTGACTCTTGGAGGTCGGATCCAGGGACAACATCCAGAACCGCTATGTCCCCCAGGACCTCCAGAAAGCTCACCTCGTCCTCCCATCCTCCGCTACAAGGAGGAATGGGGAAAGAGGAAGGAGGGAGAGTGGTTCAATCAGTCAGCGAGGGATCTTCACCCTCTTTTCAGTGGTTTGTTGTGTTTCTTTCTCCATTGGTTCAGGGCCTGGGGAGAAAGTGAACCCGAATAGCGGGCGCCCTGGGCAGTGGTGCTCATTAATGTTGCACCCCCCCTTGGTGTCGAAGTCGTGCACCTTGCTTCCATGGATGGCCGATCCGATCCTCCCTCCATTCCACTACCCTTCTAATTGGCTCCTCGTCGCACTTTCACATGCACTGAGAGTGCCGATAGGGCAGGCCTGGCATCTCTCCAGTGATTGGGGTACCCTTGATTCGACGGGGGGCCGGCCTCACAGCACTTGTGAATCCGAAGCCTGGGGTGCCCAACATTTTCACATATTGAGCGAAGAACTATGTTTTCATGTGTGCCGATCGCCTTTGCGCCGTGCCGACTCGTGCTAACATGTTCCAGCTGGTACGTCGATGTGAAGCGGGACATTCGTTAGTTGTGAGTTCCTCAGCGCCGCGCACAGTCGTGATATCATTTCCCAACCTTTGCGCTGATGGGAAGGTGGCCCGTTTGAAACATGTCGTTTATCGTTGTGGCGCGATGCACGTCCGTCTCAAATGTTCCCAACCGTCCCACGGATGTGAGGTGGCCCTTGTTTCAAATGTTGGTATTGCCCCAGCGCCGCGCACATCCATCTTCAAGTTTACAGCACTCGCATCATAGTACACGCGGGTGTAAGGCGATCAGTTTTCAAATCTGTCTCGGGCTGCGCTCTTATTGTTTCGAGACGGATCCAGCCGAGGAGCGAGGAGGAGGAGCAGGAGGAGGAGAAGGAGCGAGCAAGCGAGCGAGCGAGGAGGAGCAGCAGGAGGAGGAGGAGGAGGAAGAGCTAGTGAAGAGGAACAATGAGGGAAGAGCAAGCGAGCGAGGACGACGGGGAGCCGCGAGACGGGGGTCCCGCCCCAGCCGCGTGCCAGGACTTCCTGCAGCTGTCGCTGGGGCCGTCGATGGTCGTCCGGGGCGTCGTCGCCGCCGCCGTTTGTCCGAGGGTCGAGGGCCCAGGCGTTTGGACCTTGTGGGCGATGTCCAGTCCTCCAGAACCTCTCTACGGAGACACACGGAGACCCCTGGAGGCGTCCAGAGGTTGCGTCTTCGCCGTCAGCGGGCAGAAGAGGAGACCCTCAGGAGGAGGGGAGGAGAGGAGGGGAGAGCAAGACATACCGCTGCATCCTGCCTCCCTTCTTCCCTTCCTTGTCCTACTCCTCCTGCTTTTTCTCCCCCCGCTTGTCGCTCCTCCAGGCCACGCCTCCTCCTCCTCCTCCTCCTCCTCCTCCTCCTCCTCCTCCTCCCTCCGGTGTCCCTCCCCCCATCCTCCATCCTCCTCCCTCCCCGTCATCCATCCTTTCTTCCCCCTCGCCTCTCCTGCCTCCCAGCCCCCCACTTGTCTAACCCCCTCCCCTTGCCCCTCCTCCTTCTTTGCCGCTCTCGCTGCCTGACTGCGCCCGCGGCACTCGGCGGCCCCTCGGCAGCCCCTTTGCAGCAGCGCCCTCTCCGCAGCCCCTCGGCGGCTTTTGCGAGCGTTCGCCTGCCGGGGAGGTCATGCTGGACGTGGTCCCGGCCGCAGGGGGGCGCGAGATGCTGCGGATGCGCGTGCGCGCCCCGGAAGACCAGACCGGCGCGCCGGGGCGGGGAAGCCGAGACCCTCCCCTCCTTCGTGACGAAGTGCAGCCAAGACGCTAAAATAAGGATCGCTGTGGGTTCGTAAGGGGCTCGCTGTTGCTTAGGTCTTTCCGTGGTTGTTCCTCTAGCCCTCCTCGTGCACCCAAGCTCTCGTGGTGCCAAAAAGGGGCTCCGCTCCTGATTTAAGCTTCGTAATTTCAGCAGCCCGACTGTGGCAACGGGCGGTTGCTTGCGATTTGCGCCCCCCGACCCTGACCCCCTCACGTCGTAAACAGCATGCTGCGCCGAAAGGTTGTTTGCTATATTTCTGCCTTTGGGGGACTTCGCGGGCCCCCGAGCCGTCAAACATCCACTCAGGACGAAAAGTTGGCCCTGGGGAGGGAGTCGGGACCTCCGGGGTTCCACGCTGTGATGGGAAATCATGAAGTCGGGTGTCTGGGGAGACGGACGGGGGAGGAGATGAGTTGCCGTCGTCGTCGTCCTCCTCCTCCTGCTCCTCCTCGTCCTCCTCCTCCTCCTCCTTATCCTTCTCCCTGGAACACGAGCCCCCATGCAGACCTCTCCTGGTCTAGGTTGGGGCCGGGGCTGGGGCTGTTTCCAAGCGAGCAGCGGGGCCGAAGGAGGGGATCGTAGGCGATTGTTCGTCCCCGGTCAGAGTTTTTGATGACAAGTGAAGCCGCTCAGAAAAGGAGGAAATCCCTGGAATACACCCGCAGGGGGCTGTTCGGACGCACCCCTGTCGAGGATGCACGCACCCCCCATTCGTATTTCCCAGGGTTGGGCCCAGCATTTTGTTGGTCCACTCGAAAACCCCACGCAGTCGGAGATACGGGTCGACAAATCCTCCGCGCGGTTGCCCTAATACGCCCGTGTTGAAGACGTCCGTGTTACCACGCTTCGTGATGACTCAACGTGTTGGCCCAGCTTTTGGCGAACGTATCGCGCCAGATCTACGTTTTCAGACCACGTGTTGAGCGCCGGGTCAACACGCTTCCTGTTGTGCGTTGCGCATCGGGGGGGCTAAAAACTCTGTTGGGGGAAAGGGGGGGAGAGCCGAAACTGGAGGATCACGGGTGTTTGGAGCCAGGACCTCTGGACGTCGCGGTTGTGTCAGCCTTCGGGCAGCGGAGGCAATCGGGAGGGTCCGTCCCCAGACCTTCTCGCGCCACGGAAACAGCAAGGGCGCCCTCGAGGGCGCAAAGTTATTCGTGCTGCGCGGTTCGGCCCCGATTCCTCATCCTCCTCTTCTCCCCTGGCGGACGGCGCGAAACGCGAATTTATTCGCGCTTCGCGCAGCGCAAAGCGCGAAGTTAGGCGCCCTGGAAACAAAACAGACGCCGGGCGTTTTTGTTGGTGCTGGTGTTGGTGTTGGTGTTGGTGTTGGTGTTGGTTATACCGTTTGCTTTCCTGTCCCTAACCCCCCTCTCAGCATATCTCTCTTGTGCTCTATCCTTATCCCTCCCTTCCCTCCTCCCTTGGGGGTTGCTCCAGCTACGCTTGGCGGGTAAGGAAGATATACCCCTAAGAGGGGTACAATCAAAGACGCAGAGGGCAGGTATCGAGGGTTTGGGATGTACATGTTGGCTGGCACGCGAACACATGAGAGCGAACGATATTGAATTGATTATTGTTGTGATTCCTGATATTGTTGTTGTTGCTGTTGTTGTTGTTGGTGATGGCGTTGTTGTTGTTGAGTTCTCATTTCGAAAGCATAGTTATTGTTGATCCCCCTCCCTCCAGGGCACATAGTATTGTCTAATTGAAGTGCCCTTCCCAGGGCTCGCACCCTGTTTCTTATGAGGGGAAGTCTTGGGTCTCAGAATTCGGTCTTTAGCCCCTGGTTTACAAGTATAACGGCTCACGCCGAATACATCCTCACAAGTTATTCCCACATCGCGCTCTCGCGGGGGACTTCCTCACAATTTGTACATGCATCGCGCTCTCGCGTGGGACTTCCTCTCAATTTATTCAAAGCCGCGCTCTCGACACTCAGGAACCACGCTCTCGCTGCCATTTCCTCCCATCCGTCCCCTCTTCCCCTGCCTCAGGCTCTGCACAAAATGCACGCGGCAGGTAAGAACATGTATACGCCCTGCGGGGTACGATCGCAGACGAAGACGGTGGGTATCGAGGGTTTCGGACACACTTGTTGAAACGTACGCGAGCAGATAAGAGCAAGCAGTCTTAAAATGATTATTGTTGTTGCTGTTGTTGTTGCTGTTTTTGTTGCTGACTTGTTGAATTCTCATGCCTGAAGAACAATTATTGTTGACCCCCTCGCAGTGGACTTCCTCACGAGTTATTTTGGAATCGTGCTATCGCTCGAGAGTTCCACGCGATTCGTGCAGGACGCACGCTTCAGCAACCCGCCTGCCCCTTGTCATTCCTTCCATCCGCCCTCCCTTTCCCCGCCTGAAGGGGCTGCGCGAAATATACGTCGCAAGTAAGACAGATATACCCCCAAGGGGGGACGACCGAATACGAAGAGGGCGGGTACCAAGTGTTTGAGATTTACGTGTTGCACGGTACGCGAGCAGATCGCACCGAACAGTCTTCAATTGTTTGTTGTTGTTATCGTTGGTGTTGTTGCCATTGTTGTTGTTGTAAAATTGTCATTTCGCAAGAGGAAGTATTGTTGATCCCCCCCCCTCCGGTGGACGTTGCGTCTTTCGATTGAAGTGCCTTTCTTGGGGCTCTCTCCCTGCTTCTCCCCAAGGAGAAATCTTAATGCTCAGACTGCCCCCCTGTCCTGAACTACACTAATTTCGGCTCCCGCCTGATTCTTCCCCACAATTAATCCCAACTGGCACTGTCGCACAGGAATCGTGCGCTCGCGCGGACTTCCTGTGACTTGATTGCCACGCCGCGTCCTCGACAATCAGGAACCGCGTTCTCGCTTTGGACATCCGCACGATTCGCTTAGGAATCGCGCTATCGCTGAGACTTCCTCGCGATGCACGCAGGACTGACGCTTTAGCGACCCGCCCGCTCGACCCCGCCGTCTGGGCTCGCCCGCCCGACCCGTCTGTGAGGGTCCGCCCGCCAGGCCCGCCCGTGTGGTTCTGCCATTGATTGTCCTGGCTCCTGGCTCCTGGCCCCCCTCCTGCTAGTTTCTCTCGTGCTCCATCCTTCTCCCTCCTCCTTGTCCCTTCCCACCTCCCTTCCCCGTCTTCGGGGCTGCGCCAATTGCACTTTGGCATTGCAGAAAGGTATACCCCCAAGGGTGGTATGATCGAAGACGAACGGGCGAGTATCGAGGGGTTGGGGTACACATGTTGAGTGGCACGCGAGCAGATAAGAGTGATCAGTCTTAAACGCAGCGCTGTTGTTGGATTCTCACTTCTCCAGAATAAGCACCACGCTGCCTGCGGCAAGTTCCGCCACCGTACCAGCCCAGCATTCTGGGTGGCGTCTGGTCGAGCGGGCACAGGAAACCGCCACGTGTGACACATCGTGATACCAGGCTTGGGAGAGCCGTGATGACGATTATGCGAACGATGGGGCGACGACAACGACGATGATGATGGTTAGTATAAAGATGATGATGATGCTGATGTTGATGCTGATGGTGGTTGTGGTGGTGATGATGGTGATGGTGGTGGTGCTGCTGATGATGATGCTATTGTTGGTGATGATGGCGATGATGATAATGATGATGGTGACGATGTTTGTGGCGCTCAGTATGAAGAAGAGTGTGATTATGGTGTTGATGGCGATGAGGATGTCAGTGTTGCTGATGGTGGTGGACATGACGAGTGCGATGATAATGTTGATAATGGTGACGATGCTGGTGATTATAATGATGACGATGGCGATGCTGATGATGATGGTAGAGCGTATTAGGATGATGATGGTTATGATGATGGTGATGATGATGTTCGGGATGATGATGCTGCTGATGCTGATTAGGTAGATGATGACCATGCTGAGGATGCTGACGATGCTGATGATGAGGATGTCGATGCCGATGCCGGCGCTGATGCTGATGCTGATGTTGATGTTGCTGCTACTGATGATGTTGATTATCATGGTGATGTTCTTGAAAAAGATTATTATGATGATGCTGATGCTAATTCTGATGATGATGCTGATGCTGATGCTGATGTTGATAATTATGCTGATGACGATGATGATGCTCATGATGATGCTGAGTATGATGATCATGAAACTCGTTTGGGCCGTCTCAGGGCTGTCTTGGCCTCCTGTAATGCTGTCATTAGTGGTCCCTTGGGAGCCTCTCGGTCGCTCTTGGGACCCTCTAGCGCCGACTTGGGACTCTCGTGGGCCGCCTTGGAACCCTCTTGACAGTACGGTGGGTGTTTCGGGGTTGTCGTAGGGCCGTCTTGGCGCCCTCGTGGGCCGTCGAAGGGGCTTCTAAGGCCGTCTAGGGTCCCACGGGAGGCCCTCTTGGGCCGTTTCGGGGCCGTAGTGGATGTTTCTTGGGCCATCATGGAATTATCTTCGGCCGTCTTGAGCTGATGGCAGCCCGAACTCACCCGACAAACTCAAGGGTAGTCAATGAGTTTCACGTCTTCTGACTCTGTCGGATGTCCTCTTGTGGCTATGTTGGGTGCGCTTGGAGTCATCTGAGGCCCTCTTCGAGGCATACTTGGCTATCTTGGTGTCCTTGGTGCCTGCACGGGCCGTCTTGTAAGCTCGGAACGCATATCCATTGGTTTGAACGGGGGGTCGTGGCTTGGGAGGCCCTGGAGCGCTTGGGCGCAGCGCCTGTGAATGCGGGAAGTGCACGCTCCTCGAGTGGGTGAGGGCTAGGGTGATAGGTCTACCAGTTAGCAGCCATGCGGGGAGTGCACAATGTTCGAGCGGGCTCGCATGGAATGAAGGTCCAGGCAAGAGCTGCCATGCGGGAAGTGCACCATCCTCGTGGGGGCACGTGTGGGATGAGGATTCAGGCGTTACTTGCCATGCGGGAAGACCACCATCCTCGAGCGGGCACACGTGGAATTGGAAGTTTGGCATCAGCCGCCATGCTGG